CTTTCTGTCTCTTGGGCTAATACTTTCCTTGTGTCTTTGATGTTCTTCATTATCCTTTACTCCAGGTGGTTGGGACCAACTGATGCATCTTAGATGGCCATTTGCAAGCTTTTAAGACCCCAGACCCCACTCACCAAAGTAGGATGCAGAACATTTTCTTAATAAGCTTTGCTATGTCAATTGACCTAGATGCCCCCTGAAAGCATGGTCCCCAGACCCCTACCCCTGCTACTCTGTCTCAAAGGATTAGATTGTATTCAGGAAACTTCTTAGCTTTGGTTTAGTCCAGTTGTGCTGACTTCCCCTGTAGTGTGTGCTGTCCTTCCCTTCTCCTGATTCTTATCTACTATCTAGTTAGTAAATAGCCCTCACCCTCCCTCCCCACCCTCGTAACCATCAGAGAATGTTTTCTTCTGGAAAACACCACATTTTCACTTTACTGTTTCACTTATATGCCAACTAATGTTTCAATCTTTGGCAACGCCATATGCAACCACACTCATTTTATCATTGCTTTGTCACAGTTACCATCTATCTGGCAGTTCTTAGGACACTTGGTTTTGCTCCTTGATGTTTTTCCCTTTTCAGAAAGTGTCCTAAATATAGTTTCCTATTTTATAAACCCCAGTGAACTCTTTCACTTAGTTTATTTATGTGTTAATTCTGTTTGTTACCTGTTAATAAATAAAGCCTCTCTTGTTTTTAAAAAAATTGACTTTAATATTTAGCTCTGATCTTCCTGTCAAGAAAGACAAAAAAGGGAAACAGAATGAGTGATATCCCTCTCATAGTCACCTCAAGTCCTTCTGGAAGAAGGAGGGACATGTATATGCAAACTAATTCACAGGTGAATCTCTATTCTCAGCACTGAATTATGAACAAAGTTGTTTAAACAGACTCATATTTGGGGCCCACCAAATGACAGCCACAAATTAACTTACTTCCATTGCATGTATATAATTAATGTGGTTTGCTTAATCTCTTTATTCATCTAACATTCATTACATACCTACTAAAATCATTCTATTCCCTCATTATAATCAGTATTTCCTTTGCAGCAATAATGGCAACTGTAATTAAATAAAGGTAGTCTTTGCTTTGCACAGTACTAACTGAAAGGAGCCCCAGTGACGAAGTGGTGAAGCATATAGCTGCTAACGGAAAGGTCAATGGTTCAAACCCACCAGCTGCTCCATGGGAGAAAGATGTGGTAGTCTGCTTCCATAAAGATTATAGCTTTGGAAACCTTATGGGCAGTCCTACTCTGTCCTACAAGGTGGCTATGAGTCAGAATCGATGCGACAGCCATGGGTTTCGTTTTTCTTTGTTTGGTATTAACTGAAACTCATGCATATTGAAACCAAGCAAAGCAAGGGCACAGTTCCAATATGCACGAGTTTCAGTTAACATGGTGCCCTGTAAAGATTGCCTGTAATTTTTGTACAATCACTTGTTTACTGTCTTTCTCACCTAGTATTCTATAAATTCCATGTAAATTCCAAGAAAAGATAGTGTCTCTTTTGTTTACCATTATCTCCTTAGCACACCATCTTCCTTGCACATAATAGATGCTCAATAAATATCTGCTAAATAAAGGGGAAAAAGGTAATCTAAGACCCATCACAGCGTTTGTTTACCATGAAATTCACATATCCTATACATCCTCCAGGAGCCCTGGTGGCACAGTGGTTAAGCGCTCTGCTGCTACTGAAAGGTCAGCAGTTTGAACTCACTGGCTGCTCCATGGGAGAAAGGTGTGGCAGTCTTCTTCCATAAAGATTACAGCCTTGGAAACCCTATGAGGCAGTTCTACTCTGTCCTATAGAGTCGCTATGAGTTAGAGTTGATTCTACGGCAACACAGTTTATACATCTTCCCACATCAGTTCCCAGGCTCAGCCACTTCCTGGGAGGCAGGGCTCTCCCCACTTCCCAGAAGTCCAAACTCTTTTGCCTGAGCAGCTCCTGGAGTCATTGCCATACACAGTGGGCCTTGACAGGCCTTCAATGGCGGATCTTTGTGGCTTTCCACAACCTCAGCAAAATGTGTGTGGTAGTGGGGACCAAACCCAGCAACAGGCAGTCAGGATTAGTACAGAGTGTAAAAATATAGGTTACTGTGGTTGCTGTACCGCTGTAAAAGAAAAACATCTCACTTTTCAGCCATCGTGGTCAGCCACAGCTTTTCTTTAAAGAGTAAGTAGGAGTCATTTGTTATTCACACAGTGATGGTTTCTATGCAGATTAGGCTTCTTAAAGGAGCCAGGACAACATTTCTGTAGAAAAAGTGTCCTTTACAGAGAGAGAGGAACAAGTGAAACGACACCACTAGGAAATAATCAAACACGTCCAGAATGTGGGATAGTCTACAAAAATTGGCCTGGACTCTACAATGTCAATGCTGTAAAACAAAATCAAACAAAAGTGATGAGGGAGTTGTAGGTTAAAAGAGGCTAAAGAGACATAACAACCAAATGTAGTATGTCGATCCTGGATGGGATCCTGACCCCATCAGATTAGGGAGTAAATCTCAGAGAGATGTGAGTAATGATTATAATACAAGCAAAAAGAGAGAAGCAAAGTAAGAATTGAGTAATTTGACTTCCATTTGATGGCAGTTAAGATTACGTTTTAAAATATAAATACACATGACACAAATCCATAAGATTTTGAATACATGTAACTGTTAATAGCGATTATCTCTGAGTGATGGGGTTATAAAAGTTTTGTTGTTTTCTCCATTATGTACAAAGATCTGTATTGCTATTGTAACAAGAAATAAAATTTTTTAACAAAATATTTTAAAATATTCACTTACTTTAGCTGATTTTTCAATATTCAGGTCTTCGTCCAGTTTAAAAAGAACTGTCATGTTGTACCCAGCCTGATTTCCATGTCCGTGAGGCCACCAATTTTCCACAGAAATATTCTGTTAATAAAGATAAGTCATCCTAAGTAATCTGTGGCATATTTTCCACAAAATAATATAATGATTCAGAGGCTTATATCAATTTTTCATGTAGAGAAGCCCAGAAATTCTGAGTTCTAAAACAGCATCAATCTCCCTACCCATAATATGCCAAATCATACCAACCTATAGATAATATTTAAAAATCAACATGCTAGGAGTTTAGTATGGATTAATATAATGAAGGGAGAGGGAAGGAATAACATGAGTATTAAGAAAAACAACTGTTCCTATGTCTAACACTCTGAGCTTACTTTTATTCTACGTTCTTAATATGCAGAATTTGACTTTGAGGTTGACTCTTCTTTCAAGTCAAGACCAGAAGTTGTCTTAAGTTCTGAAAAGTTACTGAATGCTGATATGCTCCATTCTTTTTGGTTCACAGCTATCATTAATCAAAAAGGAGAGGTAAAATCCAGCCTACCTCTATCCATCAAAGATGAGAGTTTACAATTACAATTCTGCATGTAGAATAAGCACCAATATTAAAAATAATTGACAACACCAAAAATAATCACTGCTGTTTAAAAATATTGCTTATAATGTATTTTAGATTTAAGATACTGTGATACAGGATATCATAAATATTGTAGAAAAAAATTAAAAAGAACATACTTGACTTCTTAAGGCGAAAGAATGTCAAATTAATCATATATTCTTCATTTTCCTAATCTTAAAATTTGGGAAAATCGTTCGTTAGCTCTTATATACACAAAATATATGAGAGGTTAAAAATAGAGAAAAAGATGAAAAAATACATGGAGAAAGATTTTTTATCTCCTACTTAGCCCCTAGCTTCTAACCATTTCTTTTGAGCAGGTATTGCTTTTCATCCAGTGGTCCTCAGGAAGTATCATCATTTACCTTGTTAATTTTTACAAGTAGTTCAACAATCCTTTCTCCAGGCTGAAGTTCAATGCTGTATGTCTGCTGTGTTTGCAATTTAGGGATGGCTACGACCACCTGACCACCAACTGGCTTTGAGCTGACAACATCAAAAGAAGACTCTATTTCAATGTTCCACTCCTGGGCACTGTTATCTAAGGCAAAAAGAGAAAAAGATATATATAGCAAATAAAATATGCTAAGCATTAGCCTTGCCAGTCTCAGGATTCACTGAGGGTGAGACCAAAGTGGCTTCTAAACCAGTGAGTGCTCCACAAATGGTGTCATGACAAAAAGTTCACTGGAGATTCTCTTTCATCTTAAGAGTTTAATCCTTCATTCTAAAGAATACTCAAAATCATACATTTTATGTGTACTTCCATTCTAAAAATGTTAGGATTAGAAATCACAAAAACTTATAAGTAGGACACAAACAGAAAATGCCAAATGAAAAAGTAACATAAATCTTCCAAGAATGATACACACTTATTCCTTTTTATAAAGGAAAAATAATGAGGGTTTTGAAGCCATGTAATTTGGTATAAATTTATAGGCAACAGAATTAATCAAAATGTAAAAAATCTATATTTTAAACGTAGATAATTTATCCAAGAAATATTTACCGAGAAGCTTATGTGCCATGTACTTTGCTAAGTGTAGGAATTAAACGGTACCAGGATAAGCATGGCCCCGTTCCTCATGAGCTAAGAGTCTAATGCAACATAGACAAGTACTACGGTGTGGTAATTACTAGATGGGAGAAATAAAAGGTTGTTCCAAGAAAATATACACAAAAAGAGAGACACCTAATTCACAGTGGCTGAGGGAAGGCCTCCATGAGAAAGCAGCATCTAGCTGAAACCAGGACGATGCATTAGCCAAGTGCAGAGGAAGATAAGTGTTTAGGCACAAGAGTAAGTGAGAGACCCATGAAAGAGAAAGAGACTTGCCATAACAAGGAACTTGAGCAGTGATGGCACTGGTGAGGAAAAGTACCATGACTGAAGATCTTGCTGGGCCTTTTAGACCATGTGTGGAGTTTGGTAACTTTAAATCAGTGGGGAGTCATTAAAAGATTTTTTAGCAAAGAGGATAACATGATCAAATTTGCATTTTATAAAAACTGACAGATGCCTCAGCACGGGGATATACCAGGATGCAAATAAAAGAAGCAGAGAGACACCAAATTTCTACTGATGCACACCGGGATGGAAAGTGTCACAAGGAAAATCTGGGAATGGAGAGGAGGCAAAGAAAAGTAGTGGACAGAAAGAAGAAGGGAGAGCACGGCTGAGGAGGAGGGTTATAGGGAAAAAAGATGAGGCAGCTGTCATGAGGGATGGAACTTTGGGTGTGAAGTTAGGGGGTGGGGGAAAATGGTTTCAAGAGGGTTTGAAGTAGTGTTTTATGTTATGTGCATTATAACCCCCTTCCGCCATCCTGCCTTAAATTCATGCCGTTTAGTGTCTCCAGAACTGGATTTGTATATTTGGTTTTGTTTTTTAAATCAGACTGTGTGCTAAGGCAGGCCTTGGGCAAGAGCAAGGTGGAAAAGCAGACCCACTGTATATAGGTTATACAGGAGAAATTGAGGATGAGGTCTCCAAAAAGGCTAGAGGGAAAGGGGGCCAGAGCCACCAAGGAAGGTTTGTTCTTTTACTCATATATATATATATATATATATATTTTTTTTTTTTTTTTTTTTTTTTAATTGTGTTTTTGGTGAAAGTTTACACAAGAAATTAGATTCTCATGTCCTCAGTGGTTAAGAGCTTGGCTGCTAACCAAAAAAGCGGCAGTTTGAATCCACCAGCTGCTCCTTGGAAACCCTATGGGGCAGTTCTACTCTGTCCTATAGGGTCGCTATGAGGCGGAATCGACTCTATGGCAAGGGATTTAGTTTACATATATTGTTCAGTGACATTGGTTACATCGGAAGGTTCATTCTTGAATGCCACAGAAAGGAAGGAGAAAGCAGTGATAGGTGCAGATGCGCTTAAGATTGTATGACTGTGGCAAGAAATTGAGGGAGTTCCTGTTTAATGGCTTCCATTTTTCTCTCTGGAGAAGAGAGGGGAGAAGGTTATCAGCTGAGAAATATCTTAGGGACCCTTCTCCTACAAATAGGGAAGGCATTGATAATTCGTGGCTTTACTGCAAAATATAGAAAAGATGGATTGTATGTTGTATAAAAGCCTTCATAAATGGCATTTCTAATGCAGATTCACACCAGTCCAGTTGGAGAGATGATCACACCACATGTCATCATTTGCATCTCACATCAGCCAAAAGTGTAGATGTATTTGATGCACACTGAAGTAAAATTCATCTCAGGCTTGAGAACTACTTCTTGTTATTAAATTATTCATTCTGAAGAACACTAGTCAATGAGCCTGAATTAGGTTTTCTCTGCCCAGCCCATTTTGCAATTTCCCCAGCCATAGCCTCCAGGTTTTTCTAAGATACAGCAAAATACATCAGTACAACCACATTTTTTTTAAGTTACCAAGTGTTTTTAGTTACCATTTTCATTGCTTTTAAACAGAAGCACACATTCCAATGGGATCCAAAAAAAAAAAAAAAACGAAAAACAAACCAAACTCGTTGCCGTCAAGTTGATTCCAACTCCTAGCGACCCTATAGGACAGAGTAGAACTGCCCCATAGGGTTTTCAAGGAGCAGCTGGTGGATTCGAACAGCCAGCCTTTTGGTTAGCAGCCAGAGCACTTAGCCACTATGCCCCCAGGGTTTCCAATGTGATCCAAAGCTGGTTATTTTCCAAAATATCCCTAAATTGACAGCTACATGACCTCTAGCTCCTTGCCATATTCCCTCTGCTGCCCTTCCTTGCTGTCTCTTATTTAAAAATAAAAATAATAGCTAACATTTACTAAGAACTTACTGAGACAGGCATTGTGTTGCACTATGGACATGTACGAAGTTATTTAAGACTCACAACAGTCCTATAACGTAAATTCTATTATTATCTTCATTTTATAGATGAGAAAACTGAGGTACAGAGAAGTTAAGTAATTTGCTCAAGTTCACACAGCTAGTAAGTGGCAGAGCTGGGATTCAGAAAGAAGCCTGCACACTTAGCCTCTCACCCAAATAATATCCCCAAAACCATGTCTTAGTGATACTCAATACTTTTATAGTAGGACAAAGCACTGGGGTTGGGGAGGCGAGGGTACCATTATGTGGGGGAGCACTTGTCTTAATGGTATCGAGCTATAATAGGCACCAAATATGTCTTTGGCTGAGTCTTTAACCACAAAAGCACTAGATTCATAAAACTTTTGAATCAGAAGTAAAGTGATCGATCACCTAGTCCCCTCTCTGACTAGTGTCTGAGTCTCTCTAGACCACAGGTTGGCAAGCTATGGTCTAAGGCCAAATCTGCTTACCTTCTGTTTTTATAAATAAGGTTTTATTGAAACAAAGCCACACTCACTTGTTTACATACTGTCTTTGGTTGTTTTTGCACTACAACAGCAGAGCTGAGTAGTTCCAACAGACGCCATATGGTCCAAAAAGCCTAAAATACTTACTATCTGAACTTTTATAGAAAAAGTTTACCGACCGCTGCTCTAGAAAATTCCCAACAGAAGGCCACTCTAACCTTTCTTTAAATACCTCTAATGAAAAAAAAAATCTCTACCTCACAAAATAGCCTTTCCATTTTCTGCCACTTCTGACTATCCCTTTCATGACCCACGGGACATACAGTGTCCACATGCATTTTCCACCTGTCTGGTTTATTGGGAAGCTACTTTCCCACTGACAATACATGCTACCAACAGATAACTGTTTGAAACTGAAGAAACAGGCATGTGCTGCAAATTACTGTTTTTACAGGGTATTGTATGAGGTGTTGCATCCTGGAGGTGTGATTGTGCAAAACCTTTGTCTCTTTTGGAGCCTTGGTGGCACAGTGGTTAAGAGCTATGGCTGCTAACCAAAAGGCTGGCGGTTTGAATCCACCACCCACTCCTTGGAAACCCTACGGGGCAGTTCTACTCCGTCCTATTGGGTTGTGATGAGTCAGAATTGACTCGATAGCAGTGGGTTTTTGGTTTTTGTCTCTTTTGGCTTTTGTACAGCAAGATAAGCCTTATATTTCCAGGTTCCTGTGGTTATTTGTAAATTGCATTTCTCGAAATGATTCCGTGTTTGCGTGAATGCCTCACTTGCGGGTGCCATACATTGTAGGCACCTGTCAAGGGATCTAGAAGGTGATGCAGAGTCCAGAGGGACACATGTGTCCCACATAATCCTACTCCCAGAGTCCAGAGTGGCAGATGTGCCCCACGTAATCATAGGCCCAGAGTCCAGATGGATGTCTGTGTCCCACATAATATGTATCAAGATCCACAGTACCCCCCCTCAACAAAACTCAGATGCACTCAATGATTCAGCATGCATTCCACTAATGAAAGCAACAGAAAATTAAAGCCAAAACATAATTCAGTCTTGAACTACTGTAAAAGCCTTCTTTAGTCTGAATTGAAATCTACTTTCCTTTAATTTCTACCCAAAGATATTAGTTCTGCCCTCTGGGCACTTCCTACCAACCCATAACCACCAAGGTCAGGCAGGCAGGCTCCTCTGCTGTTCCTGTCACTTTCTCTTCGGAACGAGAATCAGCTGTCTGTAATTGTCTCTGGCAGGAAGACAAATAGCACAATCCCCAAAGGTCACTACAAAATTCCCCAGTTTCTCTTGTTTCTAACATGGAAGGTTCTCAGGCACATCAGTACTCCTTTGAAGCTCATCCGGTTTAACACCCTTGGTTGCCACTAAGGGGAGAAATGAAGGCTGCAGAATTCAAAGCCCAGTATGAAGATTTACAAGCCTACAGTGTTGTCACCAGATACACTATACCAACATATTTTTGCCCTCTCCTCTTCTTCCAAATGGAGTAAAGCCCTTTCTGTGTATATTCCTTCCAGGAGTCCATTAAGGATTATGCAGTTTAGGTTCATATAGTACATTTAGAGTCTTAAATAGTAATTTTCTCGATATTACTTGGCTATTTCTTTTCACTTGCTATTTTAAAAATTCAGAATCCTATTTCCAATTAAGGACAACTCAGTCTTATAGATTAAGATCCCTTTTTAGAATACAGTTTCCTATCATATCTCTCCTAGCATCG